GCTACCCGCTGAAAAGAATTATGCATAATATATTATTTCTAGAGTCAGGAAGTTTTACAGCTACTTTTATGGCTATGCCCTTGAAATTTGTATAGTTCACAAAGTTTTGCTGTGGCTTTTCTCACATCATAAACCTATATCATCATTCTGTCATCTATAGTGTAGAGGTGGGGCCTTAATGCTTTAAATGATAGACTTGTCTATCAGCCATGGAGAACAATTGCAAATATAGATATTTTTGAAAGCGTCTGCCTCTTTTGCTTCCAAATTTTAATGTATCTTTTGTACTGAAAAGTTTATATTGAAAGTTTTACCCAACCTACCAATCTAAGCTGATCAGATTGCAAGATGACTTCAGACATCATAGTAGCTTATATGGGTGTGAAAAGGATGTTCTGCTGTGGAATCACCATAACAGTCCTTGTCTTTCAATAGCGAAAAATGTGATAATTTTCCTTTTTTAGACTTTAGAACAGGTTTCCCAAACTGTGGGGTGTACCCACCTTTTATTTATATTGTTGCAATAAATCCATCTTTCCCCAAATTTCCCTTGTTTTCATTGTTCATTCTGGTGTTTGATTTTTAGGGGAGGTATATACATTAAGATTACACTAAAGACAGGTGTAATGGCAAGAAGTTTAGCAATCCCTGTTTTTAGAATGACCTTCTATTTGATTTCCAATCCTTCATATGGGATATTCTTAAAAATCCTACCATTGACCAACATGTGATATTATTAATGTACAACAAAATTTGTACAACAAAACCATTTTAGGGACCAATGTTGCATAGGAGAGCTGCCAAATTTAATTACACCTGCAAAGAGATTGAAGCAAGACTATATCCTGGCTCTATTTTGTTTATCATTTATCTAAATCCCTTGACAAAACACTTATAGGAGTTGGATTTGCACATATAAAGTTGACATGTGGGCAGCTGTCACTTCATGTAGATATTGCTGTAACCTTTCACTGAACCAAATTAGCTTCAAGAAGTTCCTCAGAACCTTGGCTCAGTTTTGTTGAGAGTTATAATCTGTCATAAATCATCAAAAAAATGAAAGTCGTGATTTTCTATAAGAGTACCAAAATCCACAAATACAGAACCAAACAACTAAGCAATTGAAATAGCCGAATATGTAAGATACTTGAAAATCCTTATTAATAGTACCCAATCCACCAACATTGCCTCTATGATCTGAAATAAAATAGCAGCTCTCCTAATGTTCTTTCACAGAGAGAAATTTTATTTCGGCTGCCATATTCATAATGAACCATGAAACTATTGCAGGGTTTTGGGTTTTTGGGGGAGAGTATACTTGGACCTTTGTTCTAACTAAAAACTTTATGAAAAAAAATCAAGAATACGAAAGTAAGAACTTTTTTCCCCTGCATGTATGACCTTAAGCTAGAGGTTGGACTACCTATAACAGAAAATAGAGATTGATCATCTGTTTACAAACTGTTTACCTGATTAAGCCTTAAATCTAGCCGCTGTGTGGCAACTTGCACTCATCAACAAAAGAACCATAGACTAAAATTTATTAATTTATTTGTGACATAGACTTTAACAACTCCTGATTCCAGTAAATAATGAGGAGGAGGAGGAGGAGGAGGAGGAGGAGGAGGAGGAGGAGGAGGAGGAGGAGGAGGAGAAGAAGAAGAAGAAGAAGAAGAAGAAGAAGAAGAAGAAGAAGAAG